AGGTGAATGCGTTTTCCCTTCTCATAACGTGAAGGGTGGGTGTGTTTATGGGGGGGGGTGGAGGGACAGCGGTTCATTTCTCTTTAACGCCAGAAAAAAATCACCAAAGAAACGGAGCGGAGGGAGGGGATGGGAGGGACTCATTTCATCGCTCGTTTCAGTAAAATCACCCAGGTGAACGGTTGGTTTCTCTCCCCCCTGCTCCTCTCTCTCCCCTCCCTTCTCCGCAGAGGGGGGTGTAAACTTGAAGAAGTCGGGCGGTTGGGTTTTTATTGGGTCAGACTCTCCCCCCGGCCCGCGGCGCAGCCAACATGCCCGAGCAGAGCAACGACTACAGGGTGGTCGTGTTCGGGGCTGCGGGGGTCGGCAAGAGCTCCCTGGTCCTGCGTTTCGTGAGGGGCACTTTCAGGGAAACCTACATCCCCACGATCGAAGACACGTACCGGCAGGTGATCAGCTGTGACAAGAGCATCTGCACCCTCCAGATCACAGACACCACGGGGAGCCACCAGTTCCCGGCCATGCAGAGGCTGTCCATCTCCAAAGGGCACGCTTTCATCCTGGTGTACTCGGTCACCAGCAGGCAGTCCATGGAAGATCTCCAGCCCATCTTCGAGCAGATCTGCCAGATCAAAGGGGACGTCCAGAAAATCCCCATCATGTTGGTGGGTAACAAGAGTGATGAGACCCAGAGGGAGCTGGATGCCAGCGAGGGGCAGGCGCTCGCCAGCCGCTGGAACTGCTCCTTTATGGAGACATCAGCCAAAATGAACTACAACGTGCAGGAGCTCTTCCAGGAGCTCTTGAATCTGGAGAAGAGGAGGACTGTCAGTCTCCAGGTGGACGGCAAGAAATCCAAGCAGCAGAAGAAGAAGGACAAACTGCAAGGCAAGTGCTCTGTGATGTGACTGATTCGGGCTGGGCTCACACCCCTGGGGGGTGTAGTCAGAGCACCCCAGGCAATGCATCCCTGCTGGAGGTTTCAGGTGAATACATGCCCTAGGAGGCTGTTGCTTTTCTTTAAAATCCCTGCTGAATCATATGTTGGTTTTAAAGGGCATGGCTTTCTGCATGTGTGGGGTTTTTTTTAAAAAACAACAATAAACATTCAGTGTCAGCAATTACATCTGGCTGCAAGTTTTTTAATGCAAGAAGTCTATGGAAGAGAAGAGTATCAGTCAGAAACAAACATCTCCATTCCTGTGAGTACATACTAGTTTTTCAGGGTTTCCAGCCTATTAGCTTGGACTAAATCATGGTGTCTGCAATGTGTGTGCTTGTTTTCAGGAATCTAATGGTCAGAGCCAGTCTTTAACACAGATGGGCATTTGCACTGCAAATGAGCATGTACGTGGCTCCAGATGCTTCCATGGCTGGCAGACAGGCTGGCTTGGCTACCAAAGGTGCAGTTTTTTCATGGAGGAAGTTAAGTTTTCATAGAATCATGGAATGGTTTGGGAGGGACCCTAAAAACCATCCAGTTCCAACCTCCTGCATGGGCAGGGACACCTCCCACCAGCCCAGGTTGCTCCAAGCCCCATCCAACCTGCCCTTCAACACTGCCAGGGATGGGGCAGCCACAGCTTCCCTGGGCAACCTGGGCCAGGCTCTCACCACCCTCACCCTAAAGAATTGCCTCCTGATGTCTCACCTCAATCTCCCTCTTCCAGCTGGAAATCCTTCCCCCTTATCCCATCCCTGTTTGATGCAGCTCAGGACACGGCTGGTTTCTGGGCTCCAGTTGACCAGCACCCCCAGGTCTTTCTCAAGGCTGTTCTTCTTCCATCTCCTGTGTGCTGTGCAGTTCCTGACACTTCTGCAGCTCTGGGAGTGATTACAACTGCACTTGCATATCATCAGGCTGTTTGGATTTACTCTGCCTTCTCCTGTTCATGGAGGCAAGGGGTTCCATGTCCTCTGGCTCCAAATCCAGGGGAGCTTCTCAGCACCCCTAAGCAAGAGCTGCCTCCTCCTTGAAGGTAATCCTGGTGTTGTAAGTACCAGTTGATGTAGTAGCTGGTTATCTTAGTGATCTGCCTCTTCCTTAGCTGCCAGTCTGGTTTTAAAGCTACTTCTGCAATTTTCCAGGAGTTCCCTTAGTTATTGATTTCTCCCCCCCTGCTATTTTATCCAAGTTGCTCAGGTTTTAGTGAGGACCTGTGACAAGTGGGTCCGGGCAACGCTGCTTTGGGAAGAAACAGCCACACCTGGAAGCTGCGTGTTGAAAGCAGAATCTTCTCCTGGCAAACTTTGAGCAGACACTTTCCACAAATGCAAGGACTGCAGGCAGGGGCTTACTCAACCTCATCTTTTCCTCCCCCCCCCCCTTCTTTTTGGCTGTTGGTAACAAGAGCTGAGTGTGTTCAGCCTCATCTGCAGTGCACGGCTGAGATAGAGTTCAAGAAAATAAGTGTAAGTATTTGCTACTCTGTGAATGTTTCTACTTTGTGTCTGTGTTGGTCCAAGCAGAAGGCTTTAAGGGCTTCAGGCATGGGCTGTGGGGTTGATTTTCACACAGCAAGGGAGTCCTTGGCACAGGAGACCTGGGAGGGAGGCATCACTTCTTTTTATAGCCCTTCTTGAGTGAAGCGGTTTCTTATTGTTGAACGAACTATGGAACAGGAGATGCTGAGAAGTACATAGCCTTTCTTAGTTTGAAAGCATGAGTGTCTATTAATAACTGCTGGGTGTCTGGGCAGGAGGCTGGAGGAGGGCCTGTTCTCTCACCCAGTATCTGCTCAGGAGCTGCAGCCCCACACACGAAGCCGTGAGGTTTGTGTCCGTGTTCATGTCTCACAAGTTGGAGCAACTCTTGTGATCAGTGCCAGCTCCTGATGCTCCACTGCCCCCCGTGTCTGCCCGGGAGCTGCTCTTCTAGTCTCCTCCAGCACAAGCAGAAGGGATCAGGCAGCTCCATGGGTGCCAGGGGAGTTTGCCCCTGCAGCTCTCAAGCCACTTGATTTGGCAGGAAATCGTGCTCCTTATGACTTCAGACCCCAGCTAGTCCTGCAGGGGTGCTGGGGGCTGACTGAAAAGCTACTCCTACTTGCCAAAATAGAGTGTGGGGTTGCCAGCTGGTGCAAAGGCTCCACACCTGATTTCTTTTGTTGAAGACCTGCTCTGCAGGTCCCACCAGCTTCCAGTGCTGTGCTGGTGGTGCTGGCTGGTGTAGTGCCCTGTGCCACTGCTGCGTGGAACCTCCACCTCTGCAGGGCTGAGTCAGGCTGAGGGGGAGCTGAAGACACAGCTTTACTTGGAAATAACTCTTCCTTTCTTAACTTCAGGCACGGGTTTTGATCTCTCTGTTCCTTCACTTCCCAGCAGTTTTGCAGCACTTCTCTGCAGGTCTTTTTTAGCATCTGGCAGTTCTCATTGCAAAGGCTATTTCAGTTCCATTCCAGCCTTTGAAACCCCTCTATATCATTTTATACTTAAGCCTATTTAAAATGTCATGAGACCTAATAATGTCTCTGTAGCTCCCACTGCCTCCATGGAAGTGCCTGTGCCAAGGCAGGGCAGCACGTACCTCTGATCATTCACCAGCAGAGATGCTTTGTAGTCACTGAGGTGCCTTCCCTGGGTGAGCTGTGGAGATCACTGGGGGCTGGCAGAGCACACGGAACAACAGGTAAGAAAAATACAGCCTCAGCCTCTCCTGCACTGGGCAGAATTGCAGGCAGATCCTCCAAGCTGCCTTTGGTGGCTACAAGAGGAGGTCCCACGGGCCTGTGTGGGTGGTGGAGGGACTTGTGTGGAGATGCTGAGGTGCTTCTGGCAATACAGGGTGGTGGTGTGGGGTCATCAGCACCCCAGGTCCCATCCTAGCAGCCTGGAGCTGGTTGGGAACAAGTGACACCTGCTGTGGCCGCCTTTCCTGCTGTGCAAGTCGTCTATGTTGGGGTGTATTGTAGGTTAATAGAATCATGGACTGGTTTGGGTTGGGAGGGACCTTAAAGCCCATCCAGTCCCACCCCCTGCATGGGCAGGGACCCCTCCCACCAGCCCAGGCTGCTCCAAGCCCCATCCAACCTGCCCTTCAACACTGCCAGGGATGGGGCAGCCACAACCTCCCTGGGCAACCTGGGCCAGGCTCTCACCACCCTCACAGCACAGAATTTCTCCCTCACATCTCATCTCCAGCTCCCCTTTTCCAGCTGGAAACCCTTCCCCCTGCTCCCATCCCTCCCTGCCCTTGTCCCAAGCCCCTCCCCAGCTTTCCTGGAGCCCCTTCAGGCACTGGAAGCTGCTCTCAGGTCTCCCTGGAGCCTTCTCTTCTCCAGGCTCAACACCCCAACTCTCCCAGCCTGGCTCCAGAGCTGCTCCAGCCCTCCCAGCATCTCTGTGGCCTCCTCTGGACTTGCTCCAGCAGCTCCATGTTCTTCTTGTCTTGGGGACCCCAGAGTTGGACACAGTTCTCCAGGTTGTATTAATCATATAATTGTTCTTTTTTTCCCCATATAAACTGAAGGAGTCAGATCTTTGCCTGTGTGTGATCCATCAATCTTGTGAGACGGGAGATTTATCTGAATTGAACTGATGCCTGTCAAGATGTTGGCTGCCCATGCAAACCTAAACTAAAGGGTAACATCTTCACACACTTCCAGGGAGCTGGGTAGAGGATGTTACCATAGTTAGTAACAGAGTGAAAAATACCATGTTGCTTGGGGACACTTGTTTTTAGGGGCTGAGGAGTAAATATCTGCTAGAACTGTGCTTGAAGTAATCCCTGCTTCTGGCAGGTGCCATTTGAGGGGTTCATTACACACCTCCTGAAGTCGTATTCCTCACAGAGGAATAATGATTTTCCTTAAAGTGTTTCCTAGTGCAAAGAGTATGTGTTGGAAGTAAAGGCTTCAGCCTTTTTTTGAATAAGTGCAGTGAACAGATCTGGTTTTAAACAAACAAAACATGAAAAAGCAGCAGATGTTCTGATGAAAGGCATTGGGGTGCAATTGTTGGGGGTAAGGAGAGGGTCCTGATCTGTGGTGCAGCTCTGCTGTTGTGTTCCAGGCCCTGTCCTTCCCTGCAGGTTTCCATGCTTTTCACCAGGCAGTGACAACATGTTGTTCACAGAGCTATTTATGCATCCTGTAAACTCTTCAGCTTGGAGATGTGCCTTGACACGCTGTTCCTAGCTGGCAAGCTGAAAGGCAATTCTCTATTGCTCAAGTTGCTTGGGTTTATCTTTTTGTTGTTGTCATTTGGTTTGGGTTTTTTTTCCCCCCCTCACTCACTCAGACTCCACTCAATCCCAGAGCTCACTGCTGTTCTGAAATGTTCTTCAGCTGTGGGGAGACAAGGTCATGGAACTCGCCAGCACAGCTTGCTGAGTGGCTGTTCCTGCCTCCATAACATCTTCCCAGGATCACGGGGTGGGCACAGTTGGCTGTAAAAATTCTCTGTGCAACATCTTGACTGAATCATGAGACCTGCTGGTAGCCTGGGTGGCTGGATGGAGCCTGAGACGTGGCAGGCAAAGTCACTGGCTGTCATCACTTACTACCCTCTGTCTCAGGACTTGATGAGGGCTGGCAATTCCCAGCTTGGACCAGCCAGGTATGGATTTCCAGCACAAATCCAACCCAGTTTCTCCACCCAGCAGCTGGAGGTTGGGTGCAGCACGGACTCGGTGGGGCACGGGCACAGGTTTGTCCTCAGAGCTGCCTTTCAGGATCTCAGCCTTGCTTTAAAGCTTGGCTCAAATTATGCTCTTAGGAAAATCAATCCCATGCTTTCTGCCACTGTAGAGCTCTTAAATAATTCTCAGAAACAGCATTGCAGGGCATTTCCCAGAACGTGGTAAGCAATATTCAGAGCAGAATGTGTCAAATCAGAAGTGTATTAATGGACAAAGATAAAAGCCCTGCAGGCTTTCTGTTTCTTGGCTGGAGGAAAAAATACTCTAGCA